TATCATTATTTTCCCCCCCTTCCTCTCTCTCTCTCTTCTTTGTTTTAAATTCATCGTACGGAAATAAAATAAAAAGAGAAAAAAGATAAAGAGTAAAAAAGTCACGACGAACACACACAAGTTTTCTCATTTTCTTTTTCAAAAGTAAAATAAATGTTTGCTCGTTAAATAAATGATTTTATACAAATAAAAGATTTTAATTATAAGAAATAAAAAAAAAAGAAAAAGGATTTCAAACAATTTATATATATATAAATAAAGTTTAACAAAAAAACTTTTTTCGATAATTAATAATAAATGAAAAGAAAATTTTTAAATAAAAAAAAGACCGTTACGTTCGAACGTCGCGATTCTTAAAAATTTAAAATTTCAAACGATGTGTGTGACGTAACGAGAGTTCCGATTGGTTAAAATTATTATGCTTACCGATGATGGCGATTAATAAGTAATATATTCTCAGTGAAAAATCACTCGACGAAGGAAGCACAAAAATCACCGTTTTAACTCACTTTTTTTTTTTTTTTAAATTAAACACCATTTTTTCACATTTTTAATTAATTTACACGATTGATTAATTAATTAAAACGATAATTACTACAAATATTATAACTTTTTAATTATTTGTTACACTATATATAAATATTACATTATAAACGATTTAACGTTTTTTTTTCCATTCGTTTAATACATCCCGAACGATAAAAACGAAAAAAAAAAACATCGTTTTTCTTTTTCAAGTTATTTATAATAAAAAAAAAAAATGTAAAAGTAAAAGTAAAAATAAAAAATAAAAATAAGAAAAAAAAAAAAAAAGGAAGAAAAGAAAATTATTATATTGAGCCCACTTGTTGCCGAACGCGGCTCAATTGTGACTGTTTAATATACTCTTGATGTGAAGCGCGCCCAACGGTAAAAATTCTAACTAATATGTTTTCCTCAAAAAAAATTTAATCACCTGTAGAATAATTATTTAAGAAAAAAATTTTCTTTTTTTTTTTTTTATGAAATTTTTTGTATGATTTAAGATTATTTTTCATAACATTTAATAATTATCCAATAAGTTGATAACTTTTGGTAAAATTTTATCATAACTGAATGTAAATACGAAGAAAAATTTTAATAAAATGTTGTTGACAGTTTGTGGTATAATTTTAATGGACGAATATTAAAATTATTTTTCATGAAAATTTAACGGAATTTTCTGATAAGACGAGGTGATAAGAAAATAATATATTTGTGAAAATTCGTTAAATTTTTTCATGATTGACAAAAGTTTCCCGATCGAGAATTCGATTCAAAAAAAAAAAAAAGAGAAAAATGCCTTTTTTTTTAATACATATTCTTTAACATGGTCGCCATTTTTAAAAATTGAAATTGAAACAAACAAAAAAATATTTTTTGTCACTTTTTTTTTATTTTAAATTTTTCATTTTAAAACTAATTTTTTTTTTTTTCTGTTTTTAAATTTACATTTTAAAAATTGTGCTGTTTTTCTTTTTTTTCCTTTTTGACTGTTTTGAATGTTTAATAAACAAAAAACATAAAGAAAAAAAGAAAGAAAAAAAAAGGAAACAATTTTGTTTTTAATTTCCACTTTTTATAATTTAAAAAACAATATATGTTAAATTATCATCATTATTATTATTATTATTATTATTATTATTATTATTAAGGATGATAATTATGGAGAATTAAAATTTTTAAGCTTTTGTAATAATGAAAAAAATTTTTTTTTTTTTTTTTTTTAATCTTCTACTTGTTTGTTGTTGTCACCTTTTGTTGTGTTCAGAATTTAATTTTTTCTTTTTTTTTTTTTTTTTTTGTTTTTTTTTTTAGGTTTTTAAGTGTGGTAAAGTTAGAAAAAAAAAAGAAAGAGAAAGAAAAGATAAAAAGTAAAGAAAAAAGAAATAAAAATAAAGGAAAAAAGAAAAAAAAAGAAAACTGAAAGATAAAAAATGAAGGAGACAGAAACTGAGAGAGGAAGAAGAATTGGAAGAAAGAGATAGATAAAGAAGAGAAAAGGGATAAAGACAGAGAATGATAACAAAGAAAATAGAAAGGGGCAAACAGACAGCAAAATAAAAGGAAAGAGAAAGAGAGGGAGACAGAAAGGGAAAACGAAAAGTAAGGATAAAAAAGACAAACAGAGAGACAGAGAAAAGGAAAGAAGGAAAAAAACAAAGAGAGAAAGAACAGAAGGAGAGGCAGACAGAAAAAAAAGGAAGACTGATTAAGTGATAGAAAGGGAGAAAAGAAGATAAATAGAAAGAAAAAGAAAGATGGAAAGGTAGAACAACAAGATAGACAGAGAGAGAGAGAGAGTCCGAAAGAAGCAAAGAGATAGAAAGGGAGATTGGAAAGAGGAAGAGAAAGAAAGAATGAGAAGGAAAAGGAGAGAAAGAAGAAAAGAAAGAAAAGGATAGAAAGAGAGAGAGAGAGAGAAATAGTACAAAACGTTCATTGAAAAACGGTTGGAGTAAATAAAAAAAGGATTAAAATTTCATATCGATAACGTTTCTAACCTCAAAATTTTTTTTTTTAAAAACGAAAACGTGGTTTTAGATTCGCACAATGTTTTCCTTTTTTTTTTAATGTAAAAATTCTTTAATTATGAAAATTCCAAAACGTTTTTAAGTTTTTAATAAAAAATCCTCACCATTATTAACAACAACAATAACAATAATAAAAATAAAAAAAAGAGGGAGGGAGTGAAGGCGAGGAGGGGATGGAGGAGGGGAAACCACGACTTAAATATTAGGAAAATACGAGTTGAAATGTGTGACAAATTCATGTCGTTTTCACATTCTCCAGAGAATTTAGAGGTGATAAATCTTTTTTTTTTCCATCGTAATTTTTTTAAATTGTTTCCACATCGGTTGAATTGTTTCGATGGGTTTTTATTTTTAATTTCAGAATAAAAATAATAATAATAATAATAATTTTTAACCGCAATACGGAAAAAAGAAGACAAATGTTAGAGAGAGGAAAAAAAAATGTATGTATTTTTTGCGTGATTCTAAAAAAAAAAAAAAAAAAAAATTTTAAATGATAAAACTTTTCTTTTTTCGGAAGGGTAGGGGGAGAGGAAGGGGGAGGGGGAAGAACAGTTTTTTTCTGAACATTTTTTATAAAAATCATCGAAAAAATTAATTAATAAACTCACTTTTATGTCATCGCAAATAAATAAATAAAAAAGAAAAAGTTTTTTTTTTTATTAACCCAAAAAGGTTTTCCAGAATTTTCCCCATTTTATTGTTTTTCCCCCTATGGAATTTTATCATCATTATTATTGAAAAAAATAATTTTTATTTTTTTTGGGGGGGGGGTCTAAAAGGAAAAATCGACTTATATCTAAAAAAAAAACAAATTTACATATTAATAACTCGATGATCCTTTATCAAACTCTGTAAAAAAAAAAATATTAAAATCGTTTGGAAACCAAACCGTTATTATTATTTTTTTTTTTTTTCCATAAAATTAATTATTCTATGAGAGAAAGAGACAGTTCGATTGAATGTAGAAAGAACAACAGAGAGAAAGAGAAAGAGAGAGAGAGAGAGAGAGAGAGAGAAGGAGGAAGAGAGAGTTCCAGTAACAGAGAAAAGAAAAAAATAAAAAAATGAGAAATATTCATTTTTTTTTTATCCGACCCTCGACCCATCCCGATTTTCTTCAGTTAAAGAATTTCCACAACGTCGTGGAATAAGAACCCCCCCCCCCCGAAATTCTCCCCGAACCAAAAAAAAAAAATTTAATAACTTTACATGCATATAAAATATATAAAATCCACAGCATCGAAAATTTTGATCATCATCATCATTGATTTCTTTCCCCCTCCCCATACAAAGTAGTAATAATAATAATAATAATAAACGATATTATTATTATTATTATTATTATTATTAATAAAACATTAATAAAACCGTTAATAAAACAATAATTTTAATTATTCATAAAATAACATTTTTTTCCTTTTTTTTTTTATTTTTAGCACTACAATAATATATATATATTTATATTTATATATAGAATTTTGATTTTTAATAACCGCGTCGTCGTTTGTTTTATCTTTTTTAGGCGCAAATAAAATTTTTTTATTTATTTAATTATATTTATAATAATAATAATAATAATAATAATAATAATTTTTATTTTTTTTTGTTTACATTTTTCAATTTATTAAATTAATAATATTCGGTTGTTGTTGTTTTTGTTTCCTCCTTTTCCTACTTTTTCTTACAAAGCATTTCCGGTGATTCCGTTACGCACGGTCAACCGGAAATACGTATGCATATTTTTTTTTTTCGATAATCGGTATCGAGGGAACGGCGATAAAAAAAAAATGATTAAGAGAAATCGTAATGATGATGATGATAATAATAATAATAATACATAACATTTTGGTTTTGCGAATTTACCCGTTCTACGTTTACCTTCTTTTTAATAAAAAAATTATTAAATTTTCAATGAATGCCCGAAAAATTTTATCTTCTTCCATTTTATTATTATTATTATTTAACTATTATTATTATTATTATTATTTATTACTATTTTACATTTACGCATCATTAAATTTTTCAATCACAATCATCATACGGATTATTATCATAACTAATTTAAATTTATCATCATCATCATCATCATCACCATTTCCATCATTATTATTATTATTATTTATTATCATTGTTATTATTATTATTATTATTACTATTATTTAGATTTTTATTTATTTCGAACGAATGAAAATTAATGTTACCGTTAAACTCCGTTAATTACGATTTGATTTTTAAAAAAAAACCGATTTTGAATATTTTTAACCGGAAATTGTATTTTTATTGTGTGTTTTCGCTTTTTGAAAATTTTCTTACCTTGCAAATTCTTAACGAATCCGACAAGAAGAAAAAAAATTGATAATAACAGTACTAGTAGTGGTAGTAGTGGTAGTAGTGGTAGTAGTAGCAGTAGTGAAAATTTTTCGCAAAAGAATAACTTGGGTTTTACTAGGGCGGCGGTGGATTTTCCGATACCATCGGATTTTCCACGTCTGAATTCAATTCCGTTTCGTCGACGATCGATTGTAAATCCCGACACGGTATTTCGGCTGGTAACAAACCGGAAGTTGACATTCCTTCGGAAGAACTTAGAGAAAGTGATAAAGGCGAATTTAAACCCCCGCGTTCGGCAAGACTTAGAACGTCCTGAGCGGCGCTTATTCCTCTCTTGTTTCTTTTCGACGCCGTTTCCAATTTGCTGTTCAATTCGAATATGCATTCTTCGAGTTTTCGATTTATGGCTATTTGACTTTTGTATTTAGTTTCGACCGCCTGAAAGAGAAAGAGAGAAAAATTATTTCTTGCGGAAATCAAAAGCGAAATTCAAAAAAAAAAATTAGAGTGATAATTACTTCTAATTGCTCTTGACATTCTTCTTTAACCGTTTTCAGGGCTCTTTTTTGATCGGCGATGAGGGCATCTTTCTTGGCCAACAAAGCCTCCAATTCGTTGACACGATTTTTCGATGCTTCCAACGCTGACACTTTCAAATCCACCATACCATTGAGATTTCTAACCTCTTCGACGTAGTACTCTTGCGTTATCGAATACTTTTCGTCGCTTTGTAATGAAAAATGACTGATTTTTTCACGATATTTTTGCAGCAGCTCTCCCATCAGTATCAATTCTTTTTGAAGGTATTCGACTTGAGATTTGAGCTGCTCTCCCGCGCTAGCTTGAGCCGTGGCTTCTTTCAATTCGTTTCCCAGGGAAAACAACATGGCTTCGACCTGTTGAAATTCTTTCGTTGAAGTTGCTGCACTTTGCTTGCTTTGAGATAACTCACATGATAATCTCTCATTTTCAGCCTTTAATTCTCTGTTTTGATTTTCAGATACAACATATTTATCCTGCCATTGTTTTATACGTTCTTGAAGTCTCGCCTCGCTCTGACGACCCTCCGCTTTATTTTTTTCCAAATCTTTTGTTATGCACTCGACGTCTTTGCTCAACAAAGCCAATTGATCTCGAAGAGCTGAATTGTGATCTTCTAACCACCGATTGTGTCGGGATTTTCCCAAGAGACGACGATTTCTCTCCGCGTGAACTTCTCTCCTCTGCCTTTCGAACTTGAGTTGCAAATGCAACAAGTTTAATTGATCTCTAGCAGTCTTCAATTCGTTTTCCAGACCTAGACACATAATTAAATTATCATTATTCAAAGGAATGAAATACTTATAATCGTCAAAAAAAAAATTCTAAACACAAACATTGAATTGTATTGTTATTATTTTTTTTGCTTTGGCTTCCTTCTCTGAATAGGGCAGCCGATAATTCTATATAACGATCTAAAAAAGTTGTGGGCGAATATCTGCCGTTTCCGGTGTTGTTACACGAATACCCGTCGGGTTCCACCGGTGGAAATATTCCGAGAAATAAATGTTCGTAGGGATAGAGAGAAGGCGCAAATGTTTCCGTCCATTGGGTTTGAGTAGAAGAGGTCACGGTGGCGTGTCCGCGAACTCCTTCTCCATTTTGAACTTTCTCTTCGTAATCCAATTCGACGGATTCATCTAAATTTTCTACTCCGCTGAAAGATGGCCTATCTTTTTTTATTTCGGGACAAGATTGAGCTCTTCGAACGTTATTTGAAGGCAAAAGAATACATTCTTGAGAAGTAGAATTGCTTAATGTAGATTCATCCACTGATTATGAAAAAAAAATAAATAAATAAATAAATTTTTTATTTAACTTTCACGGAAATCCATTTATTATTTAAACATACCTTGATGACCTGGCGAATCCGGCCCGCATTGACTAAAATATCTCAACCTGTGTACGCTCTGATGAAAGTTAAGCATAGATCGACTATTTGGCATGTGGAGGCCACCTGAATTACAAGGGGAACCGATGTCTTGTTGACAATCTTCGAGATCTTCCTCGTGAGGCGGATGAAAATCCTGTATTACGCTGTCGCAATAACGTAAAGAAACCTAAAAAAAAAATAATAATAATAATTTAACGAATTTCCACAGCGATAATTTTAATTACCGGAAAATAAAGGAGGAACTTACCGCGCTGTTCGATGACGTAATTGATTCCGTTCTTAACTGTTCACCCAAACGACTGATTTCCAATACTTCTTGATCTTCTTGCGTGTAATCATCTAATTTATAACCGTTTGTGGCATCTTTGTTGTTCTGCGATAGGGATTCGGCAGTGCTCACTCTACCGGGACTTCGAATATTTCCTAAAATTTTATCCACGCCGGGAGAATCGTTGGCCGCGTGAGCGGCCACGTTTAAATTATCCTGAATCATACCGCTGACTTTTTGCGTCAAAATCGATTCCTTTCGCTTTTCGTGAAACGACGACTCGGCATTGTTTTCGTGTCCTTCCGGAAATCGAAAAGGTGAAATTTCTTTTCTCATGGGAGAAGACGGCTGAGATTGAGACGGAGTGGATGATGTCGAACTTCGCGGCCTATTCCCAGACATGTTAAGAGCTCGTACGACTGTGGAATTAAGAGGTGGTCCTTTGGGTGCATAATGCCTTGGATCTTTCACGGGAGTCGTTTCTGGAGTTGCTTCTATTGCAGCCTCGGGAGGCGAAGTACCTTCTTGACTTGGAAATGAACTTATCACATAATTCTGCGTAAACACATTTCATTCTTGTTACGTGTAAAACAATATCTTTGGAGTCACTAAATTTTTTGATGCGTGAACAAGGGAAGAAGCTTTGTTTAGTATTAGTTAAAGTTAAGAAAGAAAAAAAAAAGTACAACCATTCTTATTACTTTGTACTTTCAGAGGCAAAGCGGCCGAATTTCGGAATAATAATTTTATTACCTGAACTTGAGTGATTGGTGTATGTGGTATGGATGTTGGTATGGACGTATCGAGGGTTTGCAATGGCGGTGTCGTGGCTCCACAATGTATGCTGGGACTCCAAAATTCTTTGAAATCCATGGTGTTTTGGTAATTTAAATTATCTTGGTTCGAAGTTGATTCTTAAAAATAAATAAATAATTTATTATTATATTATTATTAATTATTTTAAAATTTATTCCATTAATAAAAAAAGAAAAGAAAAAAAAGAAACGAACAAAAACTCACCAATGAATCGTTTTAAATTTGAATCTTTTTTAGATAAACTCGTTGAAAAACAAGGCGTGTTAACTTCATATTTTGAAAATACGGAAAGTTTAGCACATTCCACTACTACATCATGATGTTCCATAGTTTTCCACCTTAAATATAAATTTATATCAATCACAGTTTAAATCTCGAAAAGTTTTCGAACAAAGAACAAACTTGATTAAATTCTAAAGAATTTACCAGAAAGATTTGATAAAATCATTTCTACTATTTTTATAAAGCTTCACTTTTTTATTTAATATTTATAATAAATTATTTTTATAGAAATTTTACCTGCTGGTTGTAGTTTCTGTGTCTTTTGAAGCGGTAACCAATAAAGGATGCATTTTAACCGTGTCCAACATTGGCTAAAAAATAATATGTTTTTTTTTTTTTTTTTGATTTATTTCTCAATACTACTAAATATTTTTAAAATAACAACTTTTATTTTACTAAATAATAAACTTTTTTATATGATTAAAAAAAAAAAACAGAATAAATTCATTACCTTAATGGTATGACTAAAAACTCCCAAATTTTCACGAAGGCTGTATTCATTTCTTAGGTAAGATAAAAAATTACAAGGGTACATTCCATAAAGTCTATGAAAAAGAGATTGTAAACTAACTTGAAGGTGAATCAATTGTGGCTCTGGCAACTTGTTTGGATTATTGGTATTCCATGATGCTAAACGACTAATTAGAAGAAAAAAAATGATTTCGCCTTAGGATCGCTAAAGTTAAAAATAAATTTTTTTTTTTTTCAGTACGAAAATTATGCATATGGTACCTGAATACTTCGAAAATTTCTTGTAAAAATGGTCCAATGTTTGCTGGTATGGTAGGAAGCAAAACAATCAACGTCAGCAAAGCACTAATCAAAATTAATATATCTGTTTCAGTTTTTAATATTCTCAAAACTTCTTTTATCAAAGAATGCTGAGATATTTTGTAGAGCCAAGTAGGTTGACGGAAGACCACATGACCGAGAAGAGTAAGAACGCTAAGACGAACAGCAGGAGCATTTTTCAACGAGTCAACAACTCTAAAAATAAAAAAAAAAAACAAAAATTGTAATAAAAATCCCAAAGCTTTTTATTTATTTTAAAAAATTTAAAAATGGATCATACTTATCAAAAAAATATTTGTCGTGAGGTTCTCTAACTCCTACCAAGATGTCGACACACCTCATCGAACCAGTAGAAATGAAATAATCAACAAGACCATTTAAAAGCCATGATTCTTTAGCTGAAAATTATGTTTTATTACTTTTAAAAAACAAATTATAAGCATTTTTTTTTTTTTTTCCCAATACTAAAAAGTTAAAAATTTTACATGAGACTTTAAATTAATCGAGAGTTTTAAAAAAATTAAAACTTACTTCCATTGAAATGTTCATGAAACTTTTTTTTTGCTTCTTCTACTGTTTCAGGATGATTGGATTCCAGAAGTTTAAGTACTTCTGGAGGTTCCATGTTATTTTTTTGAAATCATGGAAAAGTAGGGTATCTGTTACGAGCATTAAATAGCTGCTAAATATTAACTTCCTTCCATTATCAAATCTAAATTAAAATTTCAAAAAAATGAGTACATGTTTATATAAATAAAAACTGGAAAAAAGATTGCTTGTTAAAAATAAAACAACATAAAATTAAATAATTAATGTTTTCGACAATATAGATACAAGCACATTAACAAAAAAAATTACGATTTCTTCAAATGATTAAATGATTTTATTAACACTTGAAAATATTTACTTGAACTATTATTTAAAATAACATTAAATTTGAATATAAATTGTCCTTTTGGTACAGATAGATATATATTAAAAATTATAAATGAAACATTTATGACATATTTATTTAAAAATACTAAATTGAAGAAAAATATTTTTAAAAAATTTTTAAAGAGACACCTGACCATAAAATTTTTCAAAATCAAATGGCAATCATGTGTATTAATTACATGATCATACAATTTATTAACATCAAATAAATAAATGAATTTATGGAATCAAAATCATTTAAAATGAAAACAAAAAAAATTCATCAAATAATTAATTAATATTCATTTACGTTTAATACATACGTAATGCAAAATCTAAATTTAGGTAACCACCACATAATGGAAATTGACAATTGATAGAAGAAAAAAAAAAAAAAAAGTAGAATTTGATTTTAAGGTTATACATTTTAAAAATTTTTTTCGTTAATTTAACAAATAAATACTTGAATAAATAAATCAAAATTTTTTTTTGGTTATTTTAAATAAACTAATGAAACAGAAATAAAGATACAGAAATTAAGAACTCTAGCCTGTAAGAGCCTGATACAAAAAACATTCCTTGATTAAATAATTTCGTATAAATATCTGATTGACAATTTATTTTATTTAAATAATAAAATCGGACCGAGATTAAGGTTTTTTTTAAAAAATCAAAAAGTTAATTGTGTACATTTCGTACCTTACATACCATTTTTAAAAAGATAATGTAACAACAGCTTTAATTATCTTTTCTTGTAAACACCTGGATCTCAAAGACTTTTCATTGATTTTTGAACGAACTTTCAAAACTGCCAACTTAAAATTTTTTTTTTTTTTTTTGTCAAAATCAAAGGAAATTTAGACTAGTTAAAAATGGCGGAAAATAATGTGGCGGACGCGTATACTTATTTGTTTTTAAATTTTTTTATAAATAAAAATAAGACAAATTAATACGAAAAAAAAAAAAACATTTTATTGTATTATTATTATTATTATTATTATTATTAAACGTAATCAAAAACAAAAATAAAATAAAATAAATTTACAATCGTATATACAAATAATTATACAATAACAATGTATTTAACCGATTTAACAAACAAAAATTCTTTTTTTTTTAATCCAAACTACTAATTTTTGCTTATTTACATATACAATTTTCATTAGTTATTACTATTTTAAATAAAAAACACGTGACATCGATTTAACAAAAAATTTAAATCGTTTATAATATATATATAAATAAAAGGAGAAGACAGTTAACAAGTAAGTGAAGATTTTAACCATTCGGCCAAACTTAATTTAATGGTTCCATTTTGTAACGGATCTTTGGATTCGAAAACGTCTGAAATAGAAGAAGAAAAAAACGTTAAAAACGGATTATCGAGGTAGAAACGATATAGATATAATGAAAAACATACTGAAAGCAACGCTTAAATGTAAAATGGTCGATACGAAATCACCAAATCTCAAAGTTCCATCTTTTCTCATGTATCTTAATATAAGAATTGATATAACGTCAGTACCCAACTGGAATCCGACTTCCAGCAAAGCATCTTTTAATCTTTCCGCTTTGAGAATTCCAATCTTCTCTTTCGAATGATTTTTAAATGCAGTTTGCCAATATTTTAAACTGCACATAAGATCTTTGAAATCGTTAAACTTTAACCTTCCGCAACCCGTGCTCTGTGTTCAAATCAAAGTTAAAGATAATAATAATGATAATGATAATTTAAATAAAACCAACCTAAACGCGGTCGTTTTCATTCGACCGACCTTTAAAACACAAACGACCCCAATTTAAAATGAATAAAAATTTTATATTTTATTTAAATAAAAGGATACGTCCAGTGTTAGAACAATTTGTCTACAAACTTCCATGCTCGCGCAGCTTTTTATGTAATCTGAAAAAAGGCAAAAAAAAAAAGAGTAATAAAAAAGGAAAAGATTTCAAACGAATAAATATTATTATTATTAATAGTGGGTCTAACCGTTTGGCAAGCAAGCATCGAGAAGTTCTTGAAGTTCGAAAGCATTTACAGTCCTATGTTCGTCTGCTAATTGTAAAAAAACTGCTTCGTATTGACTAAAACTTTTACCATCGTGTATAGCAGGAGCTTTAACAATAGCCGATTTTATTAAAGAAGGTTGAGTATCTAATAACCTGAAAAAGAAATCAATAATAATAATGATAATCACACGAAAGAGAAAATTGTCGTTAGAAAAAACCGTTACGTCATTACTTACTTTAATTTAAGGGGTTTGCTGGAGAAAACTCTTAACGTAAAATTTGATTCTTGTCCAGGTTCGAATGTGGTCGGAAGTATCAGGTATCCTCCTTGTTCCAATTGACACCGGTGACTAACCTAAAACGAATAATATCATACGTTATTGGATTCCCAAACCCTCCCTGTCGTTCTAATTACACGTCGATGACTACTTACCTGTCTGCTATTTGTATACTGTGAATTGGCAAGTGATTTATTCCTTTTGAAAAATTGTTTACCAATAATTTCGGTATTGTTCTTTGGTAACGAATATGCCGTGAATCCAATGACCTTGGGCTCCATAATACTATGCTGATTAAGTGATAAAACAACTTCTTCACCTTCGCTTAATATCAAATGAAGTTGAGGATTTATGTGAAACATGTCGGGATTGTTTCGACACCCGCCGGCGGAAACACCCTTTTGCCACGCTCCCTGATATATTCTCATCTGCCACGTCGTTTTATGATGGAGCGAAGGTTCGTCCCGACTCGTTTCGTTGTCTAAATGTACTATTTCGAGGTGGGTAAACGTTTTCATGAAATCGGAATAGGAAATCCTAGAAAAAAAAAAAGAAAAAAAAAGAAAAGAAAAGAAAATTCTTTTCGTGTTCGATACACTCTTACACTCTTTTTTGTTTTTTTTTTTTTTTTTTTTGTACCAAAATTCTCCGTCTCCCATGTGCCTAGCAGACAATCTTTCTTTTTCGTGTGGTGGTACCTCATCCCAATCCACGGAATCTCTTGCCCATGCTCCGACATATTCACCTCCGGGTCCTAATGGATTTCTTAATTTAATCAACTGTATCGGTTCTCCACCGAACGTTTCCACCTTTAACGGAAAAAAAAAAAATTTTTTTTTTTTAAATTTAATTTTAAAGAGAAATTTAATTATTTGTGCGTGAAGTGAGTGCGTGCGTATGGTTTGTACGCGTGCAAAAAAAAAAAAATTATTTATTTAACTTTCTCTTTTTTTTTTTTTTAAATTTAATTTAAAACTAAATAAATGACATTATTTATTTATTTAATGCTTTTTCTTACAAGTTAACGATAAATTAATGACTTTGTAAAAAAAAATATGAAAAATTATTTGTATGACTAATCGAATAAGTTCGAATAATAATAATAATAATGATAATTTACATAATTCCTTCTTTTCAAATTATTATTATTATTATTATTAAAAATTTGACGTTTTAAGATTTTAATTAATTTTTTTTAGTCGAAAGGAACAGTTTAAAAAAAAAAAATTTTTACAAAAATTATTACCGTGACGATTAAAAAAAAATTTCGACGACGTGAAAAGAAAATGAAATTAAATTTTAGGTAACCGAAAAATTAGTAATAATAATAATAATAATAATAATAATTAAACGATTTCACTTTAATTTGAAACCCCCCCCATTTAAACATTTTGTTACTAAAGTTAAATTTTACGGTTCGGAAAAAGAAAGAAAAAAAAAAAAGATTAATTACGAAACTTATACAAGAACTTATTTAAAAAAATTTAATAACCTTTTCAAATTCATTAATAATAATACTAATGATGATGATAATAATAATAATACAATATAAATTATTTAAAAACCGTTAAATGTGTCTGAACCAACAACAACAACAAAAAAAAAATATTCAACGCGGAAAATTGGAAAATTTTTATTATATCATTACGGCGAAATTATTTATTATTATTATCACTATTATTATTATTATTATCATTATTATTATTTTCGTTTTTTACATTAAAAAAAAAGTTTTCACTTCCTAAAAAAAAGAAAAATTGAAAAATTAAATTTTCTCTCCGTCGGTATTTTTTTTTTTTTAAATTTAATTTTATTTTACAATTAATATTATTATTATTATATAGACAAATCGATGATAAAAAAAAAAATCGATAAAATCAATCGATCGATTCGTAATCAATTATTTTCCTTTTTTTTTTTTTTAAAAAAAGATTCGTTAAAATAAATAAAAGTAATCGGAGAAAATTTTTTATTTGAAAACGAATTTTGTCGCACAAACGTTAAATTTCTTTAGTATTATTACTTATGCCCCTCCCCCTTCTTCCCTCCCCCTCTTCTCACACGTAACATTCATTCACGTGTTTACCAAAATTTCCCCCTCCCCGTTTACCGGATTTTCGATTTTTTTTTTGTAGTAAAAAGGAAGTGAAAATGAAAACATAAAAAATCATAAAAATTTCCCTTCACTATTAATTAAAAAAAAAAAATTTTTTTTTTTTTAATTTGTTTTTTCTACAAACTAGGAAAGAAACATCAACAGGAAAAAATAATAATAATAATAATAATAAACATTTAATCAATACTACTTTAAAGGGCCCCCGGGGGGGCGTAACTTAAAAAAAAAAAACTTTCTCGATCGAAGAACGTTTCATAAAAAAAATAAAAAATACCTTCGAGCTATAAATATTCTAGTTATAAATATTTTTTTAAAAAATAAATAATTTTATTAATAATAATAATAATAATAATAATGATAAAACTCACTCTGTCGACGGTGTACAGCCTATAGTTTATTCCTAGTTGAATTCCATTAGCTAGTTTTTCAGGTTGTTGATTTCTAACCTGAAAAAAAAAAAAAATAAATAGAAAAAAAAAGTAAATATGAGCGCGTGCGTTCGTCCGTTTACAAACAAAAATAATAAATTAAACTCGCGGAGAAATATGTCGCACTTTTTTGAAGAAAAAAAAATTCCAAAATTCCATAGAGAAAATAAACAAACAAACGAACAAACCTGTTGATTAGGCGATTGTACCGTGCACGTTATGAGTGACGTCATTTCCAATAGTTTATTAAGCATTCTACCGCATGCTGTCGGATCCTGTCGTATGTTAATACTTTCAGTTATGCCACCTGTTAAATCTGCCAAACCGTCGAGTAGGCTACCATATTTTAACGCTTCGTAGGAACCGTGAAGCCTGAGAAAAAATAATAATAATAAAATAAAAACTAAAAGCGATCGTCACGATGCGGGGGGACCCTCATAAAAACAACGCAGGATCCCCCGTCTTACTATTTGCCAATAATGCCTTTCCTTATCCAAAAAATCGTTAAATCAGTAAAAGTATTATTTTTATCATTATTATTATTTTCATTAACTGTCCTCGGAGTAAATAATTAATTTCCACTTTCACCGAATCGGCCATTTTTTATTTTTATTTATTTATTTAATAGTTGCATTGTTTCTAAACTTTATTTTTATTTTTTTTGTAAATCAAAATCAAAACATTTTTCATTCGATTTACGACCAAAAAAAAAAAACATGAAACGTGAAAGAATAATAATAAATTAAAAAAAAAAAACAAAATGGCGGTCGTATCATATTACAATATTCATTTAAATTTTTTCTTTTTGATTTTTTTATTTTGTTTTTTTTTTTACAAGAAAGGATTGTTTACTATTATTATTATTTATTTACTTAACACGATGATAAATTAAAAAATAATAATAATAATTAATGATGTTTTGCCAGATAGAGAGAGAGAAAGCAGAAAATTTTTGACGAAGAAGGGAATTTTGTCGCACAACAACAAAAAAAATGAAAATTTTTTTACTTGACAAAATAAAAAACGATTTTTTTTTTTTTTAATTTCGCCAGTCATCATTATTTCATTAAAAAATTTTTTTTAGGGCAGCCAATGATAAAAAAAAAAAATATACCTGTGCGTGCGATAAAAAAAAAAAAAATAGTATTAGTAATAATAATAATGATAATTTTTTTTTTTTCTCCGTACGAAAACTCGTCGCAACAAATATGGAAACGTATTATTATTATTATTATTATTTTTTCCTCGCCTATTAAATAACCTTGTTATATGTTTGCAAAAAAAAAAAAAACTTTTACTTCCTAAATAATTACTATTATAATATTCGATACAATTTTTTTTTTATTACTTTTCTCCCCCCCCCCGTTCCCTCATTTATACTTTTTCCCGTCGGTCGCCGCCATTTTAAAAATAAAACAAAATTTACGCGCGAAAAATTATAGGATTGGAAAATCGAACGACAGATTTTTTTTTTTTTACTCTCACGCCTTAATTTTTGTCTAAAATATTTAATTATTATTATTATTATTATTATTATTATCATAATGAATAACAGGTATTATTATTATTATTATGAAAATGAAGTATAAATTTTAAAATGGCGGAATATTGATTTCATACACGTAACGAACGAAAACATTCATGACGTCATGAATTACAATTTAAAATCTTTTTGTGATGTTTAAAATCGATGGATAATAAATTAAATTGGCATTTAAAAAGTTTAAAAATAAATCAAATACGGATTTCTGATGAGTTTTCCCCTCCCGTCCCCCCTCTCCCCCATAATAAATACGTAACATCGTAATGCAATTTCATCCTTGATAAAGGTCAAGGTTGTTCAAGGGCTTTAACGCGAGTATTTAAAATTTTCTTTTTCATTACCACGCCGGATACTCTATACGTAACACGGAATGTAAAAAAAAAAAAATCGTGACGTCACGTGTTTTTTTCGTGGCAGTAACTATTTGGTTGGTTAAATAAACACCGAATACCGTAAATATAAAAAACAATTTCGACTCACTTGGCATAAGCTTTCTCCAGCAAACCGGGCCAAAATTGATCGGAATTTGTCGATTGAAGAAAAGCGAGTCTTCCGTGTACTGTTGGAAGTCGATCGTCGACTAAAACTTCTACCCATTCTCCGCACCACCATAATCGAAACCTGAAAACTCCGACGTAATGATCCGGAGTGCAGAAATTTTGATCAGCGGGTACCACACGATAAAATAATCCTTTACTTAAATAAAGTACTCCCAAGCAAGAGACCAACCAACGATCGCCTGGAACAAAAAAAACAGATACAATAATAATAATAATCGCGGAATGATGGACATAATTGAGGGAGGTTGAGTACAAAAAAAAATCCTACAGGCACCACCACCGCCACCGCCACCATCGAGACATTAACTCTTAATGTTAAACGCATTAAAAAAAAATTTTCTCCCATGAAATTTAACGACTTCTTGAACGCCATTTTTTTTTTTTTTTTTAAATAACCAACGCCCGAAAAAAAAAAATACAAAATTGTGAGTAATTTATACATAGGAAGAGTAATAAAACTCACGTGGGCGTTTTTAATTCCAAAACAAAAAAAATTTCCAGCAATCGTACAAACAACAACAACAACAACAACAAACTTATTTCAAATTTATCAATATTTACATACAAACAACAAACATTTATTTGTTTCTGCTTAATCCAATCTTTGTATTATGCAATAATGCATCGTGTGCACTATCATCAGTTTATTAAAAAATAAATAATAATAATAATAATAATACCGAATTGAAAATAGTTCGTAACGATTTTCAAAGAAATAAAAAAAAAAAAAAAATACCTTCGTGAAAATTCGTATGAAAAACGCACCTGACCATTTATGACAAAACTTTTTAGAAGTTATTCACGCGCACGCACGCACGCACGCACACACACACAAATCGTTGATGAATATGGAATAAAATGATAAATTTCATTTTTTTTTTTTTTTTTTTTGATTTGATTTCAATGCGGGATAAATTTTTCTAGAATAATGAAAAAAGAAGAAATCTATTCGCACGTCTTTTTGCCATTTGATGACAAAAGGAGGCCATACAGTCATCAAACAATCCGTTTGACATGACACTTGAAAAAATTTTTTGCAATTTTTTTTTTTTTTTGTAACCTCGTTAAAACGAGTTTTAAAGTTTAAGCTCAAGGTTTCTTCTTTTTTTTCTAAATCCACGATAATAAAAGAATTTAAATGATGATGATGATGATGGTGTCAAAATTTTTTTGTGTGTGGTTTGCCACGCTAAAAGGCGTTTACGCCGTGTCGGGGGGGAAAAAAAAATAGTTTTGTGCCTCTTTGTGATTTTGCCTTTTCTATTCTTCTTGAATCGGCCATTGTTAAAATTTTTCGCGGGGGGGGAGGGAAGGGGGGTCGAGAATTGTAAAAAAAATTATTATTTACAATGATAATTTCACCAAACGATTAGCCACGGTTAAATTTTCCAAATATTACACTCAGTTAAAATAAAAATTCTCAAAGGTTTTCGTCATCATCATCATCATCATCATCATCATCATTATTATTATTATTATTTTAAGAATCGAAATCGACGAAATGAATTTTTTTTTTTTTAAGTAAATAAATTTTCCTGCCGCTCCCAATTTTTGACAACTTATGCGGGTTCGTCGAATATTTCTCATTATTTAAATTATTATTATTATTATTACTCACCCATTTTTCCAGGGCTGACATCGAATTGAGCAGGTGCATCGTTGACAAAAACAGGCCTGTTGCAAAGTTCCTGGAAATAAAATAAAAAAAAAATTTCAAGTATAAAATTTTCTTTCATTTTTTATTTTTTTCCTTACTCGTATGCATTAAACGTTACTGAAAATAAATGAAGGTGAACTCGAGAATCCCCTCCCCCTCCCCGGTTCCACCACGAGAAGAAAACCTGGTTTAACAACTTTTATTGGCAACATTTTTTTAAAAATAAAATTCAAGCGAATAAATGCTTTTGGCACGATGATAATCGTGATTTGGCAAAATAAATTTCATGTTACAATTATTATTATCATTAATATTAGGTTTAGGTTCTTTTATAATCATTTTTGCAACAGGTAGGAAAATAAAAATTTCGAGTTTTGAATATAAAAAAAAAAATAATCCAGAAGAAGTTAACGGAAAAAATTAAAAAAAAAAAATTATGTTTTGTTTTTAAAATTTTAAACGTGGCATTAGATAACACGAAATCCGTGTAGGTACACACACGCATACCTGAATGTGCATTCGATAACATTTTTATCATTATTATTATTATTATTTACTTAAAATTTTAAAACCGTCCGAATTCGATCGGGTTTTTCTCTTTTCCTTTTTGCATTTATTCGGTCGTGTCATCAGACAAACGATCGTGACGTAAGACGAAGGATATATTTCACATGCATTGACCTCCTTTTATATATAAAAAAAAAAATAATCGAAATCCACTCGTCAGAAACAACAAATTGTGATAAATTAAATTTAACGTTTGTGAATAAATATGTTGTCGACCGTAATTGTCAAATTAACATACATTTATTTAAAAAAATAAATAATTCCTATTTGAAAAAAAAAAAAAATGGCCCCAAAAAATAAAAAAAAAAAAAAAAATAATAATAATAATAATAATAATAATAATAATAATAATAATAAAGGATTTGATCCCGTTAAAAAAAATAAATTATAATTCGGGAAACGCAAAAAAAAAAAAAAAAAAAAAAAAAACAATTATCTTTCACATGGTTTGAAATTTTTTTTCCATTTTTTTTTGCTCTTCCTTATCAGATACAATTTAATAATAATAATAATAATAATTTTAAAATAATTACATTATAATAATAATAATAATAATTTAATAACCGTCAAAAAGTTTAAAAAAAAAAAGATTAAAGGGTAGTTAGTTAACAACAGTTACCAAAAAGAAAAACGATCTTTTTAAAATGTTAATTTGAAATTTAACAACCTTATTTTCCTCCTCTCTCTCTCTCACTCTCTCTCTCTCTCTCTTTTTAACATAACTGTAACTCATGAATATTAAACGAAAATTATTATTATTATTATTATTATTATTAGGCGGTTAGTCGAAAAATCATTATGCAATTACGGTAGCAAAAAGAAACTTGCAAATTTTTTTTTCGATTAATAACGACGAGGAATTTTTTTTTTTTTATAAAACAATAACAACGACAATCAAACAATATATGTGCAAAAATGTACAAACGGTTGTTACAAACGGTTAAATAATTATTTGTACGGTTGTACGGTTGTTTATCTCTCAAACTAGTTTTTAATTATATATATTTCGATGAGTAATTAACGGCATTAATGACAAAATCGTTAAAGTAATAATTTCGAAAATCCCTCAAACTTAATTTAATTAAGAAAACGATAGAAAAACGATTAATAAAATGAGAGATTATATCGCCGCCATATTGAATCGTGGACGCAGAATGTCCATTACACCGCCTTGTCTAATCTTTTTTTTTTGCGTCCTGGTTGATTTTTACTTACGAACCGTAAAATATGGCGGTATCCAATCCGAATATTAGTTTTATTTCCGTTAATTTCATAATTTATTTGATTAAACCGCCATTTTGAATTTTCCTTTTCACCTTTTTGTTTCTTCTTAAAAAAAACATCGATTTCACGAACTAATAATAAAGTTTTTAGTAACAAAAAAAAATACTAAACGAAGAAACGAAAATTAAATATTACGGCCATTTTTTTTTTTTTACTTATAAACTCATCAAATGCGAATAATAATGATAATGATAATAATAATGATTCATTCCATTGTTCGAAAAGAAGAAAAATTTAATAATAATAATAATTATTAATTCAAATCCGATGATTGTTCGAATGTTATCCGGTTGTGTAAACGTTCGGGAATTTTTTCTTTTTAAAATTTTTATCGCACGTGCACACGCACACTCACACGCACAATTTTCGTTACCCCTAAAAATGTTTTTCGTATTAAAAAAAAAATATGATGATGATGATGATATTTACGAAGGAAAAGAAAAAAGAAAACAATCCAACGATTCATTAAATTCATTCATAAAAAATTAACAAACAACCATCTCCTCTACTAAATCATCCGTTATTTTGGGATAAATTAATAAAATTAAAAAAAGTTGAAAATTAATTTCAGGTACGAAAAACCTTGAATTGTTTTTCTAGTGTTAATTTTATTTAATCTTTCAGGGTCACCCTAAAAAAAAAAAAAAAAAAAAATTAAACCACAACCACCATTTATTTATGTTTAATAATTTAAGGCCGAATTCTCATCAAACAACAACAACAACTACAACTACAACAATTACAACTTCCATGTTATTATTCATCATTTGTTTCTCTCTCTCTCTCTCTCTCTCTCTCTCTCTCTCAGTAATTACAATCAGAGCGTGAAAATATTTATATTTTTTTTTTTCAAAGGTCTTTCATTAAACTTTTTTTTCTCCTTCTTTTTCCTATCGTTTATTTCTTTCGACATCGCAACAACAACAACAACAAACGATTTCATCTTACTAAATCTAAAAAAATTTAAAACGTTTTTTAATTATTCGTTACCGCCACACGCACACCGCCTTACGACAAAAAAAAAGGACAAAAATAAATTTAAAAAAAAATAAAAATATTTATATATATATATGCTCGGTAATGCTGTAACAATCAATTAGTTTCAAAATAATAATAATAATAATAATAA